AAAGTGTATTAGAAATATTTCAAATTATAAGAGATTATAAAAAATATATACTTTTTGCAAAAATTCGCAGCCTATATTATATTTATATATTTAAAATATAATTAAATAACTCGCCACCTATCGAATGATAATGATAGAAATGTCATTAATAAAATCGGTTTTGCAAATTTATGATGATAGCAGTGCTAACTATGCAATTCAGTCTTATAACAATAGATGCCGTAAATGGCATGTCACATTTTTGTATATTTATTGAAATATAATCTGTGCGTTTTGTTTTACATTTTCTCTAAGATTATATGATAAATTAACTTTGATTAACGATTACTTGTCGCTTTCTACATAATTAACTATATTCATAGCACATTGACTGTTCGCAAAACATTAAATTTCAATGACTAACTATTAAACTCTAAAACAATTGACAATCCAGCGACAGTCCAATCGTCTAATCCATTTGTTTAAAAACTTACGAGAAAATCTTTAAAGTTAAGAAAATTATTTTAAAAATCTATATTCTGATTTTCTCTCTCTCTTATAAAAAGGAACAGCTGATTAGATTATTGTTATACATAAAGTTTTCTCGAAGATCAGATTCAAGTGAAACAGATCAAGTATCCATCTTCGATGACATTAAATTAGAGTATACAAGGAATAAATGTACACAAAGTACTTGCGTTTTTCAGCTGGATCCGTCTATCTCTTGCTATCGTGCCTCTGCAGTAGATCGTACAGAGCGGCTATGTAGCTCTGTGCCATTTGTAAAGTCTCGAACTTGCTGAGCTTGTGGTCGGTCCCAAGGCTCGGCACGACCTCGCGCAACTTGTCGAAGGCATCGTTCAATCCGTTCATACGTCGTCTTTCGCGCGCGTTTGCGGCGAGACGACGACGTTTGAGTACCGTGGGCGAAGGCGGGACGTCGCGCGATCTTCGCCGACCCTTTCGCGGGCTCACCGGCGGTGTCGTCGGCATTTTCTGAATAAAGTTTTCGGCTCGATTAGAAGCGAATCGCGCATACTCAGCATACGTTTTCAATTATCGCTCAATTGTTAAAAATATAAGTCTTGTAAAGTACTTAATTACCATCTCTATTCAAGACAACAGAATTGGTCATTCTATTAAATTTTATTTTGAATTAATTGTTTAAAAAATAGTTATGACTAATAGGAGCTTTCAAGTATTTAACTCTGCATTTAATAGTGGATAGCATAACAATCGCACGCACGGACGCTGAGCCAACTTTGACTTGTAGTAAAATTTCTTTTATATATATCGCAAAATAGAAGTTTATATAATGGATTTTAATTATATATATATATATATATTATATTCTCTTAAATGCATATATTTTTATATTTAAGTATCTATATGATAAATTAACTTTGATTAACGATTACTTGTCGCTTTCTACATAATTAACTATATTCATAGCACATTGACTGTTCGCAAAACATTAAATTTCAATGACTAACTATTAAACTCTAAAACAATTGACAATCCAGCGACAGTCCAATCGTCTAATCCATTTGTTTAAAAACTTACGAGAATCTTTAAAAAGTTAAGAAAATTATTTTAAAAATCTATATTCTGATTTTCTCTCTCTTATAAAAAGGAACAGCTGATTAGATTATTGTTATACATAAAGTTTTCTCGAAGATCAGATTCAAGTGAAACAGATCAAGTATCCATCTTCGATGACATTAAATTAGAGTATACAAGGATTAAATGTACACAAAGTACTTGCGTTTTTCAGCTGGATCCGTCTATCTCTTGCTATCGTGCCTCTGCAGTAGATCGTACAGAGCGGCTATGTAGCTCTGTGCCATTTGTAAAGTCTCGAACTTGCTGAGCTTGTGGTCGGTCCCAAGGCTCGGCACGACCTCGCGCAACTTGTCGAAGGCATCGTTCAATCCGTTCATACGTCGTCTTTCGCGCGCGTTTGCGGCGAGACGACGACGTTTGAGTACCGTGGGCGAAGGCGGGACGTCGCGCGATCTTCGCCGACCCTTTCGCGGGCTCACCGGCGGTGTCGTCGGCATTTTCTGAATAAAGTTTTCGGCTCGATTAGAAGCGAATCGCGCATACTCAGCATACGTTTTCAATTATCGCTCAATTGTTAAAAATATAAGTCTTGTAAAGTACTTAATTACCATCTCTATTCAAGACAACAGAATTGGTCATTCTATTAAATTTTATTTTGAATTAATTGTTTAAAAAATAGTTATGACTAATAGGAGCTTTCAAGTATTTAACTCTGCATTTAATAGTGGATAGCATAACAATCGCACGCACGGACGCTGAGCCAACTTTGACTTGTAGTAAAATTTCTTTTATATATATCGCAAAATAGAAGTTTATATAATGGATTTTAATTATATATATATATATATATATTATATTCTCTTAAATACATATATTTTTATATTTAAGTATCTCAAAAAGATATTTGTATATGATAACTAAAAAAGAAAGAAAAATATTTTGAAAATAAAAATTATTGATATTTTTGTACAATGCGCACATGAAATATTTATTTCGATTATTGCATATTTATAAAGCAGTGTTTAAAATATGGGTCAATGGCTTGGCGTCTATAAGCGGAGAATTAATTACCAGCTTCGTTCAGGGCAACGTAATTGAGCGTTTTATTAAATTTTATAATTTGAATTAATTTTTACAAAGTAGTTGTGACAGATCGTATAGTTACCTGTGTCGAGATGATAGGTTCCCAGCAATTGGCGCGAGATTCTACGATCGAGATGATCGGTTTGCTGTTCTCCAGGGGCTGATATCTCGGTTCTTGCGGGGGAGTTTCATAACAATAGGATGGCGTGTGATAGTCCATCGAACTTTCCTCGTACAACATCGATCGCGGCGATCTTGTCTGATCCATCGAATGTGGTGGCTCGTATCTAATAAATTCGCGAGGAAATAACAAATTCTAAACTAAATCCCTTCTTTCGATAAAATACGCCAGATAAAATCTGCGGTGATTACCTTTGCGGCGTGACGGGCGTCAGGACGCCATAAGGTCCTCTATCGTATCCCTCCGGGCTCTTTGTGTATTCCGACACTACGTCCTTGCCGTAATCCAGCGTCTCGGCCCCTCTTCGCGGTGTGAGCTCGTTCTCGTGCGTGCAATTGTCTCTATACGCGAGTCTGTTGGAATCGTTCTGGTAGTTCGGGGAGTTGTACGGTGACGGATACAGGGGGTCGTAGTTCCTCCCTGAATTCGCGTATGCGGGTGTCAGCATCTCGGACTGTGTGCTCTGGTAATTGCAGTGATGGTTTGACAGCAAAGCCATGATTGTAGATTGTTATTTTAGATCGATTCAGCGAGATTGCTTCCTCAGAGTTGTCTCATTAGATTTTGTACCAAGAATAATTTTTTTTCTTTTGCACAAGTGCGAGGTTTCTACCTTTTACATAAGCGAATTTTCATGACATTTTCTGCAGTCTTGTTTAAATTTTTTTCTTGATGTCACGTTGAAGAAAGAATTAAAGCACGATTCATCACTGTCGATTCACATTCCATTGAATTTGTTAATGCAACTAATTAATGGCATTTAAATATTATAGACGTACGTTTTAGTACTAATGTTAATATACATTGCAGTAAATGATTTCACATTTATTTGATCTTTTTCTTTGGACTTTCGATGATTTTTATCGTGAAATTATTGTCGTATTTGTTTGCCCAATCAGGATCATATATCTGATAAGTGTCAAATCGAATATACTATGGCACCTCCAGGCACATCACCTATGCGAAATCGATCCGATCGATTTCTCTCACGCTAATCTCGTATCTTCACCGACAGTCTTTATTTCTGTTCACTTTGCATTTTTTACGCCGCAGCCTCGTGAAAAAGGAACATCGAGACTGAACTGTCAGAGACGCTCGAGTTAGATCGGTAAAATGACACCAGGGTGGACACCGGTAGATCCGATCCTCGCGGTGTAAAGGCTCGAGTTTGAGTGCGCTCGGCGCGTGCCGGAGCGTCCGTCAGCAGATCAACATATGGTACCCACCTTGTTTTCTACCTATCCCTATAAGCGATGCGTACACCTGGCAGCGGTTCATTCGGCTTCCTTCTGTACCTACCCCTCTTCTCTTCAGGTTGTTCGATGCCCGCTCCGTAGGCACGCCCGCGCTGCGAGCCACCGCGATTCGCCAAGAAGCGGTCGGTGGCCTGAAAAGAAGAATAAAAAAAAAAAAAATCAGCTTGCGCTGATTTTAAAACACGCAAGACCAATAACTTTATCTTGCTTATGTATTGTTGATAAGAAATTTATTGAGAAACGTGCCGAGTTTGTCATCCGTGCTGATTTGTTACGAGCTTGTTGGAAGCTTATGCGGATGATGAGTCCATTACAATATCGCGGCGATATCCCCTCCGAGTTTTCCGGCGCTGATCGGACGACGAAGTAACGCGGCGGCGATATGCGCGAAAATTAACTTTTAATTTCCGATTTCCCGCCTTTTTTCTTCCTCCGCTGTCAGCGTTCGGTTCGTCACGACGACCGATGGCGGAACGACAGATGCTTTCACAATAGAAACCACGCCACGTGTAATAACTATATGTATCGTATTATATTCGCCACACATTTTTGTGTAGGCAGTATGAAAAGAACAACGAAGATGTATCGCGACGGGAAGAGGAAACCGGACATCACGATCCTCGCAAACGCGGTTTTTTGTCCTCTATAATCTGAAAATATATAAGATAAAAAAACGTACAATTGCAGGTTTTAAATTCAATTGCGGTCTGGAAAAAAGATTTTTTTTTTTTTAAATGATCGCATGGATCGATAAATCCATAAATCGATATTACATAAAAATCTATTCTCTTTCTGGCGTTAGAATTTTTTATTGATATAAGAACTATGTACTGAAGTGATAAATAAACAATAATTTGATGTGCTTTTGTATGATCTGTATGAATTTATTATTTCTAAGAATTATAGACAGGATTAAAACCCTATTAAATAGAGATTAGATATCGTTATCCCCTTTATTTCGGAATTATGTAATATCATCATGTCAGATAAAATCAAACTTTTCAAAGCCACCGATGTTTCGTTAAGCTTTTATCGCAGGATTAAAAAGGCGGCGACGAGTAAGAAGAGAGAGAATAGGATCGAATGGTTTTTAAATTCGAGAAGTTGAGATAAAATGTGAACGACTGGATATAGAAAGGAGATATATATATAT